CTGTCAGTGTTCTCCACTACCATTTCCCGGTATTATGTGGCAGTGATTCTTTATATTTCCGGTTTAAAACCGCCAACTTGATAAACCGTTCTCGGCAATTCGTGTACCGTATCTAGCGTATTTTTGAACGACAAGAGAGCTTGAAAACTTTATGTTTCACTAGTCACCGAAAGGCAGTTGTTACCAACTGTGTGTTTCCCTGTCAATAACAGGCTTCTGTATTGCTGTAATATCAATGAATTTTTTTTTTGGGGCGTCTATTTTCATTATTCTTCTCAACTCACTGACTAAACATAGCCCAACCTACCAACGATTTCTTATAAAGTGACGAATTTGTTCTTTTAAACCACCAGCTTGATAACGTGTACTCAACAAAACAGAAAGACCTCGCTGTATCATAAGGGACTCCACACTACTTTACAAACTAAAAGGGTCGATTTAAAAACTCTGCCTTGATCAACAAGTAAGCGACCCGCCTGCTTATATCCATAACTGACTGCGTTTTTTTACTCGAAGTAAAAAGGACTGTTTCGTAAGCAGCCTGCCCAGCTAAACTAACCGTCCCGTCAACTTTTCTGTTCAACCGACGGTTTTTACCAGTCATCTGCCAAATTTTAGCATCAGTGACTTTGACTTACAATACGTTTACAAGCCTTCAAACTTTTCAACGTACACCACAGTCTCGGGTAGAGCTTTCATTAACATAATAATTATCGTGTCCAATAGACATCTTTTCAATATTTAGCAGTTTCTCATCTTTGACATGGAAGGATACTTTTTTTTCTCAAAGAATTCACTATCAAACGAATGTCAGATCTTTTAATAACTTGATACAATTTCAGTTTGTCAACTATTCAGTCAACTTTGAAAATTGACTTCTATCTTCCCAAGGTATAAAGGGAAAGCATTGTGTTAACTTTCGTAGGGTAACGGTTTCAAACTAAAGGGCTGAATTTTCTGAAGAACTCTGTCCAGTCATTAGCAAACTTGTGTCAGACGTTTCCCTAATTTGTAAACATTTTCAGGTTGTCAAACCTGTTCACTAGCGGTTATCCTGCCAACAGGAGCATGAAGATCAATATGTAAACTTTCACCGGTCAGGTAACTTTTACAAACACAAAGGTCGAGTTTCAAAGACCAGTCTGCCCAACGAATCTCATGCCCGTCCTTTTTTTTTTGTACCTGTCTTCCCTGACTGTCTCTTGTAGAGTTTTCACTAACTAAAATTTTTTATCTAACAAGCATCTTTTCAACATTTGTATGTAGAGTAACATGTTAACTTTTGACAGGAAATTACACTTTTTAGCACCTTTCAAATCTGTCCTAGTGAACGTGTAAGAGCTTTCTCGGTTTGTAAACAATTTCAATTTGTCAGCGTTGTTCACTTACGGTTACCTTTTCAATATGAGTACCCTGAGCAATGTATAAACTGTCACCAGTCGGCTAACTTTAACAAACAGGTCGATTTTTAAAGACCAGTCTTTCCGCCTAATCTTATACGAGTCCTTTTTATTTCTATCTGTCGCCCTGACTGTCTCTGGTAGAGCTTTCACTAACTTAATAATTGTATCCAACCGGTATGTTTTTTTTCAACAAAGGCACATAGAGCGACAGAACAACTTTCGATACGTATGGATACTTTTTTTTTTCCAAAGTGGTCACTAGTTACCGTGTCAGATCTTTCCCTAACTTGAAAACATTTGGCAACCTTCGTCAGCTTTGTTCAATGATGTCTAACCTTGCAGCAGGAATGCAGAAAGCAATGTATAAACTTTCACCAGTCGGCTTACTTTTACAAACAGAAAGGTCGATTTTCAAAGACCAGTCTTCCCAACTAATCTTAAAAGCGTCTTTTTTCTTCTATCTGTCCCCTTAACTGTCTCTGGCAGAGCGAGCTTTCACTAACTTGATAATTTTATCCAACAGGCCTCTTTTTCAACATAGGCACATAGAGCGACATGACAACTTTGATACTTATAGATACTTCTTTTTTGTTTAAATGGTCACTAGGTACCGCGTCAGATCTTTCCCTAACTAGAAAACATTTAGCAACCCTTGTCAGCTTTGTTCAATGATGTCTAACCTTGCAGCACGAATACAGAGAGCAACTTGTAAACTTTCAACAGAGTGGTCAAGTTTACAAACAAATGGAAGATTTTCAAAGACCAGTCTGGCCAACTTATTCTCTAACTGTATCTGTTTTTAGCTAGCCAGTTGAGTGTCTTTCATCTTATTGGTCAACTTTTTTTTTCAAACAAACGAGGATTTTCAAAGATCGGTACTAGCAAAAATTGTCAGCGATTTGATTAACTTTAAAAACTGTCAGTTCGTCAACCTTCGGGTAATTTTATTTACTGATGGGTATCTCTTCAATTATGTCTATTGGTCTACTGATGTTTCTTGGCCGGTCGTACACGGACACTGGTACAGCTTAAGTTACCCAATGTTTTTTTTTTTTTTCCGTTTTGAAACCTTAAATACCTCTTTGTGATATATTGTCTTTTTTTTTTCTTGTTTTGGGACTTACATTTCTAAACTTGCCACTTAGGCTTCAAGGTCTTTACTGTCCTTGGTACACTTTAAGTTATTCGATGTCCTTCTCCAGCGGGACACTGATCGATGTCTTTTTCCTGTTTGAGACCTTAAGGCACGCGTTTACTGAAGGTTGTTTGTGTTTGTTATAAAATACTTACTAGTCCTGGTCCTTGGGACAGCTCATGTCACTTGATGTCTTTCTCCTCTGTAACACTGAAGTTTCGTGGTAAGACATCAACTGACCTTGGTACACTTTATTCCACTAGATATCTGTTTTTTTTCCCTTCGGAACATTTTAAGTCACCTGACATTCACTTCACAGCCCCTGCGACTCGCCTTAATTTTTTTTTCCTTGCACCATCCCTCGGAGAACACGACACACACACACGTCGTGATTGTAACTGACTCAGAAAGCATGCTGAGGAAGATCAGGACAGGCATGATTCGTGCAGAGTGGCATGCTTCGCTGCGGAGGACACGGGTGAGGAGGTCATAACGGTATGTTGGGAAATGAACAGGCGAACGGACTGGCTGGCTCTGCCCAGTTTGGTGGAATACTGATGCACGATAAAGCAGATGTGGTTAGTGCCTTGTGGGAGAGCTTGTACAGTTCGGAGGAGCAGATTGATCACCAGTGTGGTGAGATTGATGCAGTTGGGAGTGACGAGAGGTTCTGGCAGATGCTAGAAGCTAAGAGGAAAGGCAAGACGGACGTTTAATTAGAATGCTACTGGCACCATTAGTATCGAAACTCTTCGCTGGCTGCTGAAGATGGGGACGGAGCGATTACGGGAATTCCCCGAGTGCTGTGATGTCGGTTCTTGAATCAAATCAAAATCAAGTCAAATCAATCAAATCTTCTCTGATTGACACCTCTAAAATTCATTTTCCTTGGACATTTGGTTTTCGAATCCACTTAACATTCGTTCTTTAGTCAAAGAAGAGGAGGGCAAAGAAGAAACTGGAATGACAACATCAAGAAATGGAGAGGACTAAATTATCATAAACTTGTTCATCCAGCAAAAGACAGAGAAAGATGGCGTGTTTTATGTGCTAGTGCTTCCATCAATACGCCCCCACGACCCTAATGGGTCAAAGATTGTGTTACGTTATGTTCTGTTAAATCAAAAATTAAAAATAAATTTTCTAACTTCAGTACACTGTAAATGTAGTAAAAAAGATGATCATATCAGGGTAAAAACCTGATTTAAAAAGAAAAGATTACTGGCTATAGACTGGATTATGAAGACAGTAACTGCTAACACCAAGAATGGAATACAGTGGACCCCTACAAAACAACTTGATGATCTGGACGTCGCGGATGATATTTCTCTTCTGCCCAACTCAGGGAATCAGATGCAAGTTAAATTCATGAGAGATCATTACAGCTAGATCTGAAAATCCATAAAGGAAAGACAAAAATAATGCGAATAAATAAGCCAAATATTAATGTTATTTCTCTTAATGGTGCCTCACTCCAAGACGTGGAGTCGTACCCCCATTTGGTTAGTCATAAAGACTAGGGAACTGATAGAGATTTCAAACTAGAATACAACAGGCACGAGGAGCTTTCATAGCACTAGGGAATTTGTGGAGGTAAAAGGAAATTACAAGAAATACTAAACTTACATTGTTTTTTATTCTTATAACAAACCATTACTGGTGTATGGAGAGGAAACACAGAGAACAATTAAAGCGATTACTAATAATTTGCAGACATTCATTTACTAGTGCCTGCACAGAATAGATGGAATTAAATGGTATGATAGAATTACCAATGGCGAGCTCTGGGAGAGAACTAAACAGGCTCCAGTTGATCAAAGGGCGAAGAAAAAAAAGCTATCTTTGGATATAACACACGTTGAGAAAACACAAGAACAAAATAGCTATAATGTCTTTGCACTGGAACCTATAGGTTTTTTTTTGGTCTCTGAGCAAAGTTCGTTGAATAGCCCTGACAAAAGCATATTCATCATAGTGCTCCGATATTCTACAGATGACGTTTTCTTGCTGTGTTAAAGAGGATTATGTTTACCACAGAAGCTGAACAATGAATATTTAGACAACATTATTAATATCATGTCATTTAATTAGCAGATTAAAACTATCCCAAATAATTTTAGCTTCTGAGGTACAGTAATTTAAATTTTTTTTTCTTCATAGATATTTTTTATTATAGTTAACTAGGTCTTCATGGCGTCTACTAGCAACGAAATGGGCGGCGCCATCTTTTACTCTCCAAATCATTTGCACAAACAATGTTAGCATTTTGGAATAAACATCAGACCTATAAACCCATGTCATGCTTAAAGTTAATAAATTAATTTATACATAATTAAACTTCCTTCGTTTCTATGTTTGATATACGAGACGAAGAAAGAACAAATATAAGTCTTCACGAGATTGCTTTCCAATAGAAGGAAGTCATGTGACCCGATCGATGCCAGCCTATATTCCCGTTCAAGATGGCTGCCAATGTGCAGTTGATGTGTCAGTATTGGAAAACCTTCGATTTACTTGAACTACAGGTACGTGAATTATCCTTCTTCTAACCGTGTTTGTGACATCTAACAACTATTAACTTTAAGTCTGAAGTGCACCTAAAGCTTGTCTATGTGATCCAAGTTGGAGAGAAGCGAACGAACAAGTTTAAATGGGCTGGTTAAATAATGGATTCTCTTTCCTGATCATCATTGGTCGGTCGATAATAAAGACAGTGGAAATAAATAAACAAGGGTGTAGTTTGGCGTTTATGCAAGGCTGAGTTTGTTAATGTGAGTTTATTTCCTTTATTTGCCTACTAGTAGACATAGGGACATCAGTGTGTTGTTATCTAAATGTTTAATTTGATGAACTAATTGACATTCTGTGAAACTTTTTGGCTCGGCATAATTTGCTGCGCCTTTAACTTTATGACAGGGAATTCAATATAATGAAAGGAAGTTAGGAAAAATGTGGCGAATGACGCTGACAGTCAATATTTGGTTGTAGGGCATTGTTCAAGGCAATATATAATTCAGTTATAGCCTTACTTCAACAGAGAATACTATTAGCAGTTAATAAAAGAAAGAAATTAAGAGATACATTCATACAAAAATTGTTGTGAACACAGGAACTAAATGTTAGCCAATGATTGTCGCCAGGGCGATTAAACACGAAAGTAGCAGAAATATGTTAACTTATGATATATAATTTTCGACTTTCATGTTGTCTAGTGTATCCTTCTGTTTCTATTTCTTTCTTCTACATCTGTAAAAATGCAAATAATTGAATGTCATTTTGTTTATAATGCTAAACATTGTGATTTCTACAGTCAGTATAGTTGATACATCTGATAGTGAGGTGACTGCAGGTCAGGGTTTGACTCTACTATCACAACCATGGTTTGGGAAGTGTAATTTAAATTTGGCATAACAAATTGGGCACTGTTGCTTTATCACATTGTTTGGGTTTGGACCCACAATTAAGCACTGTTGCTTTATCACATTTTGTGTGTTTGGGTTTGGATCCAAAATTAAGCACTGTTGCTTTATCACATTTTATGTGTTTGGGTTTGGACCCAAAATTAAGCACTGTTGCTTTATCACATTTTGTGTGTTTGGGTTTGGATCCAAAATTAAGCAAGCACTGTTGCTTTATCACATTTTATGTGTTTGGGTTTGGATCCAAAATTAAGCACTGTTGCTTTATCACATTTTATGTGTTTGGGTTAGGACCCAAAATTAAGCACTGTTGCTTTATCACATTTTGTGTTTAAGTTAGGACCCAAAATTAAGCAGTGTTGCTTTATCACACTTTATGTGTTTGGGTTAGGACTCAAAATTAGGCACTGTTGCTTTCACTGTTATCATAATTTGTGTGTATGTGTGGGGAAAAAAAAAAGGGGGGGGGGGGGGTGGTGTACCCAAAAAAGCACCTTTATTTCTCTCACTAACACAACTGGATTTTATGCGTGAATTGGGACTTAGAGCAGTATGTTTTTTTTCCACTGTCAACCGAGCTGAGTTTTTGTGCTCTGGTACCCAAATGGAAACCCTGTATGTCTATCAGACAGTGAGTGGTGTTGACTGTAAATTTTCCATTGTGGGTTTTGGGAGAATAACAAGAATAGACCCACTGCCTCCCTAAACAAGCATGTCATAAGAGTAGAATAATTGGGGACTTCCTTCGAAGTTAGCATGCATCTGCCCTAGCGGTAAATAACAACAAACTGCACACAAATAAGTCAGTAAAACGGATGAACATGCAAAACTCAGGCCCTGGCACAAAGCCAATATTCAAATAAATGAACAGCCAGAACTTTCTGCGGAGCTTATAGCCAGTGAACAAAGAAGAAGAAGACTAAATTAATAACATTCCTGGTTAGTTTAATGGGACATTGCATTCTTTAGTTGTGTAACATCAGCTCTTCGCCTCGTCTGCACTGTCCTATATGAGTTTTGTAAACATATTTTTTGCCCTGGAAATTCGTAAGGTTTCATTACCTATTAACTAGATTCCCAGGGTTCAAGGGTTAACTTTCCTTATGCTGGTGACCAGAGTGCCCACATCACTTTTGTTGTTTAATTTGTTTAAAACAAAAACATCATCATCTGCACAAGATTGAATGATGATTTAAGGACTAGATGCAAGAAGAAATTAATTACATTAAGAAGCAAGTGATTACAAGAACGTGACATCGAGAACCAGGTGGGCATAAGAAGAGTTGGTCAGAACTATGAATCAGGAACAAAGTGGGTGCAAGAAAGGATATAATAGTTCTGTGGTGGGTACCAGAAAAGATGGGACAGAAACTATTTCACTAAGAATCAAGTATTGTCAGCAAAACATGCTATCCCATGGCAGCAAGTCAGAAAGTTGTTCAGATATGATCCCCTATAGCTCTCTCTGCAGCTTCTCTTGATGTAGTTACTTTTCTTTTCTCTGGCTCTTATTCTGCTTTGTGCTGCTAGTTCTTCAAGGTTAACAGATAATCAGTATCCAAGCTAGGACACGCTCGATTGCTTAGTAGGCTGATTGATATGTTGTTGAGTCTGAACATATTAGTGACTCCTTCAATTTATCGTCTTCTTGGTCTTCCCTTACTTCTTGGTGTTTCTACTTTTATATTATACACTCAAGGGAGCATCATGTTCTACGGGTGATGCCCGACCGTCATCCAGCTACTGTAGAAAAAGTAAAAGGTAGAAACATCATGAACATTGGTACATGGAATGTCAGAACACTAGTACAAAACGGAAAACTGGATAACATCAAGATGGTAATGAAGAGAATGAACATCAACATATTAGGAATTAGTGAAATGCGATGGCCAGGAGCAGGGGAAAAGTATTCAGATCAGCACAGAATTATTTACTCGGGTGGGAAAGAATATAGTAAGGGAGTTGGTATTATTTTGGATCCAAAGAACTCAAAAACTGTTAACGGATTTTGGACAATATAAGATAGAGTACTATTAGTAAAACTTCGCGGCAGACCGTTTGACATCACCTTAGTACAGGTTTATGCCCCAACAGCAGATAGTTCAGAGGAATATATTGACGCATTTTATGATGAGTTAGACATGGCTGTTGATCAATGCAAAAATTGTGAAGTAACAATGGTACTTGGAGATTTCAACGCAAAAGTAGGAAGTGAAAAAGTGTACGGAATAACGAGTGGCTATGGCCTAGGAGAAAAGAATGTGAGAGGTGACAGATTAATAGCATGGGCTGAGTCGCTCAGCATGATAATAGGTAACACCTGGTTTAAACACCATCCTCGAAGATTGTGGACTAGGAAAAGTCCTGGTGATAATGTCCGCAATCAGATTGATTATATTTTGATTTCAAGAAGATTCCAGAGCAGCTTAGTTGGAGCAAAAACTAGACCAGGGGCAGACTGCTTTAGTGACCATGTTCTAGTTGTAGGAAAAATTAGAATAAAACTAAAGAACATTAGAAAAACACCACAGAACATCAAGTTAAATTTATGAATTCTTAGAATAGATAAAAAAATTAAGGAACAGTACAATGTCACTGTACAAAACCGGTGTAATGCAATGAAAATTATACAGACTATTGATGAACAGTGGGATATGTTGCGTGAGTCAATTCAGCAGACATCAAAAGAGACAATCCCACCAACCCATAGAGTTGCGAAAAAGAAATGGATGTCAACTGAAATTCTGCAGTTGATGGATGAAAGAAGGAAGAAAAAGAATGATAAAGAAGAATACTCTAGAATACAAAAAGAAATAGTGAACAAATGCAAAGTGGCCAAAGAAGTCTGGCTGAATCAAATGTGTACAGAGATTGGGAAAAATCACAGGAAAGACTCACATTCCATGTACCAACAGATAAATGTGTTAACAGGAAAGATGACACGTAACAGCGCTGGATGTTTGAAATCAAAAGATGGTGACTTATTAATGGGACATAATAATATAATTAACAGATGGACAGAGTATATACGGGAATTGTATGATGATAATAGACCAGATGTAGAACTGCAGACCAACAATGATGGTCCATCAATAATGACTGCAGAAGTTGAGGATGCAATACATCATATGAAGAAAGGGAAAGCACCCGGGCCAGACAACATCTCACTGGAAGAAATCGAAGCAATGGGAAATTTTGGAATTAAAATATAACTAAACTTTTAAATGATATTTATAATAGTGGGTATATTCCAAATGACCTTTTAAAATCCATATTTATAGCTCTGCCAAAGAAACCAGGCACTTTAAAATGTGAAGATCATTGCACAATAAGTCCTATGAGTCACATGACTAAGATTTTACTGAGAATAATTATGAGAAGAATAAGAAACAAAATTAAACCAGAAATCGGTGATGAACAATGTGGATTTGTAGAAGGAAAAGGTACAAACAATGCCATTTACATCCTTAGGACATTGTCAGAAAGAGCTATAGAAGTAAAGACTGATTTATACTTATGCTTCATAGACTATACAAAAGCATTTGACTGTGTGAAGCATGAAGAAGTAATCAAACTGTTAGAAAAATTAAACATTGATGGGAAAGATCTACGAATAATAAAGAATATGTATTGGCAGCAAACAGCAGCTATACGAATTAACAACTGTTTAGGTACATTTCAAAGCATAAAGAGGGACGTACGACAAGGATGTGTACTGTCACCTGATTTGTTTTCTATATACAGTGAATATATAATGAGAGCTTTAATTGATATGCCCCAATTTGTGGTTGGTGGGCACAATATAAACAATTTACGTTATGCTGATGACACAGTCTTGATAGCAACAAGTCAGAAAGAACTACAGGAAATGATAGACATTGTGGTGTTAGAAATTGGAAGAATGGGCCTCAGTTTGAATAATGGGAAGACAGAAGTAATGGTGGTATCAAAGAAACAAATTATTCCTAAATGTGTAATAAAAGTCAATGGTGTTATTTTAGGACAAGTACAGAAATTTGAGTATCTGGGCACATGGATAACATCAGATGGAAGATGCATAAATGAAATAAGAAAAAGAATTGGACAGACAAAAACTGCATTTTATA